ATGATAAAGAAATTTCAAAAATAGAATGTTTTGTAGTCCAGTTTAGCATTATAACAATATGATGAAAATAAACTAATTTACAAAAATTTAGATATATTATATAATACGAAATAAAATAATTGATGAAATCTGGATATCTTTTGTATATTCTGGAAAAAATATTTGCCATGGCTCAGATGTCCCAACGACAATTCTGAATTTTTCCCACGGGACTTGTGATATAAATATTCCGCAAACATTTAAACCAGTCTTGATATAAAATGTATAATTATTGTATTAGGATAAAAATTAAAAAATTTCTTATAATAAAAAAATCGACTTGCCCATTGAGGAAGTGTCAGTAAGGCGGGTGTTAATGTCGATGATAAGTCCCATAATACATCCGCGTTATCAAAGATCTGAAACGGTTAAATACAACTGATTTAGAACGCGATTTACTAAAATAAAAGATTCTTCCTACCATATATCTAGTTTCAGAATCTAGTTCGCATATTTCTTGCAATTCCATAGCAAAATCATTGATGTTTTTGCAAGAATGTTGTTTTCCAGTTAAATTAGTTAACGTAATTCCGAATAAATCTTCAGCAGAATAACAAACTCTACAGTCAAGAAAAGAGTATTGACGAGAAGTGAAACCGAGTTTAAAGAGTCTCCTAACTAGTTCAGTCTTTCCGAGTGCTCTATTTCCGTGAATGAAAATCGTAGGTGGAGTCTTTTCTTTTGGCTAGTTAAAATAAAATTCAGGTCTTAACCGTTTCTTCTAAATACTAAACCCATAAACGACAGAATAAAATTACCGCGCCAAACCAATTCAGTAATGTTTCAATTTGACGCGTTCTTCCTGGGAATTCCTCAATCAATACGTTTTTTAGTTGTTGTGGTTCTAAGACCATGGTTCTGAAATGCCAATATTCACGAAAAAAATACTGTCAAACAAATATGTCAGCAAGACGAAAATTCATTTTAATTGGCTGTAATCAGAATGATCGACAAGATCGACCAGTCAGGTGATTACAGTCACCGGTTTATTCATCGGGGCAGGGACCTAAAAAAATTGAGTTATTTAATAGATAGACAAAAGTATATAGAGTTTAGTTATTAGAGAAGGGGTATTTGTAAAGAATATTAAGCTTGGTAATAAGAAAAATATTTAATTAATAAAGAATAAAGATTTATATATACTGTATTTGATATTTTGAATTATAGAAAAAAGATTAGTAGAAATTTTTGAAATTTAAAATTTTTTGGTGATATAGTACTTAAATTTGATTTGAGAGATAGAAGTATTAAAAGATTTTGAAATATACTATAATTTTGACAAAAATATATAGGTTTATTGTTTTAGAATAAGTATTTTTTTTTTTTACTTTGGCTGTCTTGTCAGTATTTTTTATTAAGTTCCTATTTACTAGATAAAGCAAAAGATACAGCAAAGCATGTTTAATAATTTGGATCCAACATCTCAAAATTACTTTAAGAATACTTACAAGCAACTAGCTACACTAAACAGACATATCCATTTGAATATATTCTGATAAGTTTTAAAATAGAAACTATATCTATCTCAGAAAGTATTGTTAGACTACTGTTCTATAATAGGCTATTACCAATCTAATGATATCTTCTTGTAAGAAAACAGAAAAATAAAAAAACACTAAAACTAATACTAATATTAAAAGAAAAAAAAAAATGAAAACAGGGATGTGGATAACTGGATTACGTGCCTCGAATGTGGCAACCTGAACAAATGATGCTCTGAGCTCAATAGTGCGAATTTCTAACCTTTCTACAATACCAACGTCGAAAAAGCTTTTTCTTTTTTTTTGTTTTTTTTTTAGGTTCTAAGTTTAGATATGCTATGTATATAAATTAATGTAAGAATAGTTTAGATAGTAGTATGTAATTTTTAAAAAGCCTGACACAGGCTTATAATTGTGACCGTCCTGTGTAGGTGAAAAATCTTATATTTTAGTTTAGTTTTCTCATTTTTCCCCTTCTCTCTTTATTTTCTTTTATTTGTTTTTTTTATATATTCTCCTATACCTCTGTGTTTGTTTTAAAAATTTTTTCTTTTTTTTTTTCACTTTCTTACGAGAAGATGTTATCAAATTGGCAATATCCTATTGTAGGCAGTGGTTGAATAAGCCTCCGGTTAGGGTATTATCTTAATTGATCATAGTTAAGTCACCTGTAGATGCATGTAGGTAATCGATTAGGTTATACAAGGCAACTGCAGGATATTAAATCTAAATATTTAATGTTATGATGTTTCTACAGATTCAGTTTTTATTAAATAAAGATACTGGCATGATCTGCCTAAGTAAAAAAAAAAACACTATTTTATTAATATATATAATTAAAAAAATATTAATATATAAAAAAACAAAATTAAACTAGTAATTAAACTAAACAAAGTAGCTAATATTGCATCAATAGCCTCAGAGTATTGTTAATAGATTTAGAATATTCAAGTTATATCATTCTTATATGTTGTCTTAGAGTTTGTTTTTCTGTATCTTTTAGATCACAATCAAGTATAATACACTATATTAAATAAGTAGCTGCATGATATTATCACACAAAACCAGGAATGAAAAGAGAGATCTTAATTTATGAATAAAGTAAATTTAGTACCAATTAAATAGAATATATTGAAATAATTTATATTTGACAAAAAAAAGTGAAAGAATCTAAAACTACTAAAACATATATACAAACTTTAACTTGCCAATTATTTCAGTAACTTGTAAATTCAAATAAATTTTATGCATCCAACAAACCAGATGCAAAAAAAAAATAAAAACAAATATAAACTAACTTAATTAATATTCTTGATATTCACAAAGTTAATGCTAATAAAAAGAATAAATATGTATATAATATTTAGCAAAAATTTTGAATAATAGTAATTTGGTTCAACCAGACAAATGAACATGTATCCAATCATTTGTCTGGTTGAACCAAATTACTGTTATTGCTAAGTAATAGTATTATCTGACAACTGATGATGATTGGTAGAAAGGCATAGGCTGAATTTTAATTCGAGTAAATATGAATATTTCGTAATATATGAAAAAAATAACATTCATAAGAGTTAGTCAGATAATAATTCGAGTTGATGTAGAGTTAATGGATCGAAAAAATGCTAAGCATAGTGAGATGCTTTGTGAAATTATCGACTAGAACAAGTCCAATTTCAGATAATCAAAGTTAGATTTGAATGCCTTTCTGCAAGCATTAATCATTAATTCAAAGGCAGCAATATGAAGAAAGATAAACTTTTGGAAAATACAATCAGGATCTATATTAACAATTGCTTACTCAGCTGTGACAGACCACAATTCGTGACCCACCCTCTCCCAAAGGAAACTATTATTTTCATAAATACAACTATAAATATCAATATCAATATCAATATCATATATTTATACTCCACAGCTAGCTTGCATTACGCAAACAAGTTAGCACAAACTTCTGTATAACAATATTATGTACATTAATTAGTACAAACTCAACTGCTATATAATATCATATGCGCTAAGCTATACAAACTCAATAAATCATATGCATTATAGTAAGCTATACCAATCAACTGCTATATATATTACATAGCTAAGCAGTACAAACTTAACTACTATATAAGTGTGAATACTATATATATTTACATACTAATAGCTGGCCTGTATTAAGCAGACAGAAAATCACTAGCCAGCACTAAGCCACACAAACTCAACTGCTTATAGTTATCTTCTAGCGCAATGTTATTGCTATTTCTGAGATCATATTCCAGTTTAGTTTTTAGCTATTATTATAATTCCTGAGACACCTA